TTCTCTTTCTTAGCCTTTCTTAGGGCTCTCTTCTCCTTGATGATATGTTTATTAGAGGGCCCTTTCTCGGTCTTGGCGTTCGTAACATGTTCGTTGTTGATCGTTCGGTTGGTAATCGTCTGATTGGTGATTGTCTGGTTGTTGACCGTCTTGTTGGTAATCGTGTGGTTGGCAATCTTCTGATTAGTCTTTGCGCTGTCTTCTGCGCTCTCCTTCCCCTTGGCTGGACCATCTGCGCTCTTCTGATCTTTAGTCGTATTGTCATGTTTGGTACCTGAGGCAGCAGCTTCTTTCTGTGCGTCAGCTTCTTTCTTCGCGGCTTTCTTGTCTTGCTTCGCTTCCTTCTTCGCCTTCCGCGCTTCCTTTATCTCAGCCTCCGTACGCGCAGGTTGTTTAGCAGCATCTTTTTGTGTGTCGTATGTGCCTTCCTTAACCGGTTCACCCGCGCTCTCTGGTTGAGGATTGACGTCACTCCCCGCAACCTTATCTAACCTCTTTGCCTCTTTCCTGTCCTTTCTTCTTTGCAAGACCAACTCTCGATCCACCACAGGTTTATGCTTGGCACCGTTCGCATTCGCGCCGTTTCCGTTGTTGATGCCTTTGCTTTGAGCGTTGGGGCTATGAGGGTTCTGCGCAGCCTCGAAATTTGCCTCCTGCGCTTCTCGCCCCGCCTGTGCGTGTTGCCTTGGTCCTGGTACGCCGTGCATACCCAGGTGTAGTTCATCACCACGTCTATGACTGGCGGGATCCATGTGATTCTCACCTTGGTGACCACGATCTCTAGGATCGCCGCGCTGCATATATGGGTGTCTTTCTTGATGCAGTCCGTTACCATGTCCTTCTTCGGCGCGATCCAGATGATTTCCGCCCGGATGACCATGACCTCTAGAATCGCCCTGTCGTGTATCTGCGTATCTTCCCTGATGATGGCCATGGTTACTGTCCCAATGGCGATCGTCTTGTCGACCCTGTTGTCCTTGTCTCGGATGATCTTGATGATTTCCGCCCGGATGGTCATGACCTCTAGAATCGCCCTGTCGTGTATCTGCGTATCTTCCCTGATGATGGCCATGGTTACTGTCCCAATGGCGACCGTCTTGCTGACCCTGTTGTCCAGGTTGTCTTGGGTGATCTTGATGATTTCCGCTTGCGTGATTAGGACCTCTAGGGCCGCCATGCTGCGCATCTGGGTGTCTACCTTGTTGGTGGCCATGATTGTCGTCCGGATGACTGCCATGTTGTTGATCATGATGTTCTTGGGCTTCACCATGCCCTCCAGCTGCCTTGTTTCCATCGGCTTGCGGTCTCGCCATAGAATTACCAGCCTCCGTCCGTCGCTCGTCCTCCTCTTCCTGCATACGCTGCCTCTCCTCTTGTTGATGAGTCTTCTTCTCCTGATCAGCAGCCTTCTTGTGCGCTCGTTCTTCGTCTTCGCTTTCCTTTCTCAATCTTTTCTCCTCAGCTTCAGTGGCTCGTCGAGCCTTCTTATCCTCTAGCTCGGCCTGTCGTCTCTGGACCTCAATTTCCCGCTCGGAGCGCTTTGCTTCTTGCTCCATGGCATGCTCTGCCATATTGTGGGTAGCTTGAGCAGCCTTTTCTTCCATCGTGCTTTGCTTTTCAGCCAAATGCATCTGCCTCTGGGCTTCTCGCTCCGCCTTTCTGGCCTCTTGTGTCATGGAGCGTTCCTCAATACGTTGAGATGCTTCCTCTGCTCTGAGCTCAGCTTGCTCTTGTGCTCGTTGAGTCTTTTCGGCCGCATCGAGTTCTCTTTGAGTCTTGCGAGCTTCTCTATCAATTTCCTGTTGCTGTTGTCGCTGCACGGCATCCTCGGCTTTACGATCCCGCATTTCCTCTGCCCGTGTCCTTTTCATCTCTATATCATTCGCCCGCTTAGCCTTCTGGGCTTCACGGTCCACCTCGCGCTGTTCTTTCCGCCGTTCATCCTCCTCGGCCTTTCGTTCGCGTTTGGCCTCCTGATCTTCCACTCGACGAGTCTCACGTTCCTCTCGATCAGCCTCTTTCTGTTCATCCTTTCGCTCTTTCTCTTCAGCCTTCTTTTCGTCCTTTCGCTCCTTCTCTTGGGCTTTCTTCTCATCCTTTGCTGCCTTCTCCTCCGCCTTCTTCGCATCTTTCTCTTGCTTTGCAAACTGGCGAGCTTCATCTGCTGCCTGCTTCCGAGCAGCTTTATCTGCAACTTCTTGGGCTTTCTGTTGTTCTCGCAACTGTTGCTGTTGGTACTGTGCCTGTTGTTGTGCCTGATACTCTTCATCGTCTTGGGCCCTTTGTTGTTCTTGCCACTGTTGCTGCTGTTGGAAGGCGCGCTGCTGTGCCTCGGCCTTTGCAGCTTCCTGATCAGCCCAATCCGCATCTTCCCTGGCAGCGAGTTCATCATCCGCATGCTTCTGCTGCGCTCGGCGCATCTGAAGCGCTTGTTGACGTTGTTCATACTCAAACTTCCGCTGAGCAGTCTCGTTGGCCGCAGCTTCTGCAGCTTCTTGCTGTGCTGCGAGCTCATCTTCTTCCTCTTCCTCTTCCTGCGCTTGCTGCTGCGCTAGCTGTCTCTGTTGCATGGCGGCTTGCATGTTCTCTTGACGTTTCCTGTCGATTTCTTGTCTTTGGGCTTGGATCTGTTGTCGCTGCGCTTGATAATGCGCAGCTTCGGCCGCAGCTTCGGCGGCTTCCTGTTCTTGCGCCATTCGCTCGTCTGAAGCCTTCTTTGCCAGTGCAGCTCTGATTTGCTCTTGACGTTGTCGCTCAATTACCTGATCCTGAGAAGGCATCTGCATTTGACGTCCTGCTGACTCGTATGACTGTCTTTGGACAATCGGTTCCCGCGCTAGATCGTTATAGTCGTCGGTGCCTTCTGCCTCCCCTTCTGCTTCTTCCATGTATTCTTCATATTCGTCTTCCGCTTCCTCCTCTTGTATCGAACGCTGGTAGGGCTGCTGCCATAATGGCAGGCTTGTTCGGGATGTTTGCGCAGGTTGCGGGGGAAACGGAGCAACGTCTTGAAAGCGCTGGTGTTGAATAGGGATATCCTGGCGCTGATCTGCTTGTCGCATTTCAGAAGGCGTATATGGATGCACTGGAACTTTTGGACTAGAAGTTTGGCGTTGCTGCGGAGGCATTGCCTGGGGATCGTGGCCATTCGGTCCTGGCCTCAGTGCTTCTGGAACCACGGAAGCTTGTTGAGGGTAGCCAACAGGCGGTACTTGGACATTGCTAGCTGACTTATGATGTGGCAACCCGCCGTCTTCATGTTCGCTGTCGCTCTCAGATGTCTCATCGTCTGAAGCTCGTTCATAGTCACTGCCGTCAACGTCGCTGTCTTCCAAGTGCTCATCTTCGTCGTCCCCTGTACCTTCAATCTTGCTATCAAACTCCTCTTCCACGTCACTATCGTCTTCTACTTTGTCTCTAGTATCTTCATCGCTGACTTCACTGTGATAAGACTCATCGTCGGTATCGTAGTCATCAGTGGGAAGTCCTTGATTGCGTGGATCAATAGCGATATGAACAGCGATGGCTGGTTGTGCGACCGCCATGATATATGATGTCGTTGGTATGTAACTCGATTGGTTGAACTGGGAAGTGTGTAAAATCAGGCCTGCCTGTATGATGTGGAAAGTTGGTGTCTAGTTGGGGTAAATATAGTCAAGAAGATGGCCTAGGAACACTGGCCACGTCTAGGATCTTATACCTGGCTCAGAACATATTCCTAAGCAAGACTGTGAAGCTTTCGTTGAACATGCAGTATTGATGTCGAACTCGGGCGTGTGAATCAACCCAGATCATGACGACATCAGCACGTCGAAGCCTGCGTTTGTCATACCCTCGTGTGTAGTCTTGAAGTCTGAGAACGGCGACTGACGAGTTATTCTCTATTCGATTCAAGGGCACTTCAACATCCACATCCCTATTGAATTTCTCTCCAGGTAACAAGCATAATGGCTACATGACCAGGCATTTATGTACGAAGCATTGCACATGCTTGTTGTGATACAGCAGTCCTTCAACGACAAAGTAGTGAATTTTAGCCTATCAGTGAAGCGTGTATTAGAAACACACCGCCCATAAATTTAGCTCTCCAGAGTTTTGTAGTCATAACCAGACTCAACCACTGCGCTCAAACACATCGACTGGGATTAAACGACACAGCCAGGAACTGCACAGAAGTTCTACCAAATTCGGAATCCCTATCTTTACCACCAAATAAGCTTCGCAGAAGCCACCTAATTGCCATACAACAAGCGTCCACCCGCGACTTCATCACACATCGCCACGACTAATTATGTGCATCGGCGTCAACAGCGAAGTCTGCCCCGACTGCGGCAACAACGGCAAAGGCCACGACCCCTACCTCCAAGGCGGTACAAAATGGATCCGATGTCCAGCATTCATAAACTCAATAACAGGCAAGGAACCGTCAAGGCCTAACTGCGAATCCGTCATGCGCGATCAGATTGGAAAGAAAGGGGACTGTGCAGTCTGTATATCACGGAAGACATTTGAAGAGAGGAAGGCAGAAGGGAAAATGACGCCGAACGAACTGAGACTGGAAAGAATGAGGCTGGCGAAGGAGAGATTTGACAAGGATGTGAAGACCAAGAGGAAGAAATTGTGGGGAGATCAATAGTGCGGATTTGACGATGGAAATGCTGGTACTACTTGAATTGCGGAGGGGCTGCATGTATGTTGTGATATTGCGATGTGATTTAGCAGTTCTTCAAAGACAGAGGTGTGAAGTTCCGCGTACCTGTAAGATATAAACCGTTCTCGAGTCCTCTAAACATGCACTTCCTCGAATATACATAACTATCAATCAAGAAAGCACTATACTAAACTACTACGACTAAACACATCGATTTGACATCGACCGCGTGCACATCCACCTCACTTTTGGCTCACCAAATACCCCATCTCTATCCCAAATCAACGTCACCGGAATCACTTGTCCGTCAGACCCACGAACCAGCAGATCTACTCACCACAATCCAAACATGTGTACAGGCGTCCGCTTCAAAAAATGCCCGAAGTGTAACAGAAATGGTGGAAGATTCTCACCCTATATCAAAATTGGCCAACAAACAACGCGATGTGCAGATTCCAGGGTACCAACACCAGCAGGAAGCAAGTACCCCACCAAATGTCATACAGTCCATTGGAAGGAAGACACCAATCCTGCGACAGGTCGCTGTGCGGACTGTAAAAGCAAGGCAATCCAAAATCCCATGACAGAGGCAGACTTCGTGCTGGCGAAGCAGGCGGAGGAGGCTGAAAAGGCAACAAATAAGTCGAAGGAAGAGGCGAGGGCGAGGAACAAGGGGAAGGCAGCGGCGTACAAGGCTACCGCTCCTGTTAAGAAGCCTACTGCTCCTGCTAAGAAGGCTGCTGCTCCTGTTAAGAAGACTCCTCGGTTCATCCCATCGCAGGAAGCTGTAGATAGAGCTAGGGCGACTGCTAAGAAGACTCCGAAAAAGACGAGGGGAGCTGTGGAGAAGGCTCCGAAGAAGACTACTCAAGCCGCTATGAAGGCTGATCAGGCGATATTGATGAGCGCGTTTAATCATCATCAGAAATAGGTTGCTGAGGCTAGTGCTAAGGGCAGGAATGCAGGATAGAAGGCTTGTGATGGGTAGATGCGGATGTTTACATGGGGATGCGTCGGATTACTGCGCATGTATATTACTTCAAAGTTGAGAAACGGGGTTAGCGATAAATGAGAAGTACTAGTAACACTTTCCATCCGACTTTATGAGGAACAGATTGCGAATCCATCTACCCATCAATTTCCCACGCGCATCAATAAAGGTGTCCCCTGCAACCTTTACTCTCAATCACCTTACCCTGTTTAGCAGCAGGGGCCTTCCTATCTAATACCCATAGTTGTGGCGGTGAACAACAATTACGAGGAAACACTGAACTCAAAGGCGCAACCCAACTCGACCCCGTCTGCACCGACCACGGATCTACCTCCACACCCGCAATCCGCTCGAACCGTCTCCTCTGTTTACCCTCCATCGTTGTCCCGGTGAACAACATGTACGAGGGCCGCGCCCTGAACTCGAAGGCGCAACCCACTTAGACCTCCTCTGCACCGACCACGGATCTACATCCACACCCACACCCATAATCCGCTCGAAACGTCTCCTCTCCTCTATATATACCTCGTTCTTCCAACTTGTTTCCCAAGCCTTGCGCAGATATGCTCTCGTTGTCTTGATGAATTGCTCCCGGGTCTGCCGTCTTGGGAATTTTCTCGCATTCGCATCCACATTCGCATTTTCCAGGACGATGCGTCCAGCCGACGCGAGTAGGTAGTATGACTCCTGGCACGGAAAACAGCAGGGTCGGTAAGTGAAGGTGGGAAACCAGTTAACTCCAGGTTCTCTGCCGGGTTTGTGGAATTCGCCTTGCACAATGTATTGGAGGACGTGGTCTACATCTGCGTAGATGGTAGATAGCTCCTCAAATAGCTCCTCCGGACTTCTTCGACGGGCATTTTCTGGAAGGGAGACCTGGTTGAGCTGGGTGAGTAGGCAGCGGGCGATATTGATGTGGAAGTGATAGGAGTATTCTTTTACTTCGCCCAAAACGGCGCGAATGTATGGAGGGAGACGTCCTCCATCGAAATGCGTATGGTGATTGGATAGACGGTCGATTACGCTGATACCTTTTGTGCAGGCGGCTACGCAACCCAAGTCATTCTGGGCATGCTTAGCGTCATCGGCGCGTTCTCTGTGTATCGAAAGCTCAGTGAGGAGAACATGAGCATCGGGCCAGTGTGGTTGTTTGACGATTTGCATCGTGTCTTGTAGAAGATCCTCATGGGTGCAGCCTTCAATCTTGAGACGGGCGCAGCGACGGATGCCATCTCGTATGGGTTGTAATAGCTGTTCTTGTATACGCCGTGAAGGAACCTCGCAATTTCCTTGCTCATCAGTGTTCGTACCTGCGTTCAGTATGACGCGTAACTCCACCCCCATATCTGGTGCTTTCATGCAGCCATGGTACATCCTTTCAGTCTCCAATCTCTTGCAGAACTCGCTCAGGTCCGACAACAGCATCACCATCCTGGTTGTCAAGGAGCGAGAGGAGCGAGAGGATTGAAGAAACCGGCCGAGCTGAAAGACGAGGTGCATCTCACAATGCGGGAAGACCTTTGGCTCTTCTTCGCTCAAACTGGGGTGCGGCTCAGGTATGCAGCCACCAGTGTGGCTTATGGAAAAGATGTGGATCGGTTGGCTGGGCCCGTGGAACCAGTCTTGTATATTGGCATTCTGAACCTCGACGCACACGAAAATGTCACTGTTTGACAGGAAAGGCTTTGCTTCATCATAGATCTGCTTGTTTGCGAGGAGTATATTAGTGCCAAGACGTCGCCGCTTTACTATGGGTGCCCTCGCATGCAGGTTTGAGTATTCGTGGATAGTACAGGGAGCTGTTCGACAGCTATCGAAGCCTAGCGCAAATTCGTAGACATTGTCTCGCAGCTCGCGTGGTAGATCAAGAAGGCGGAAAGGCTGATCGGTGAGGTGAGTGTTCATGACGCTTGGCAGTAATTGTGGTGTAGGAAGGTAGGAGCGTTCAAGGCGCTGAGGTTTACTTGTACACGGCTGGCAGTGGCGGCTCGCTTCCACCTGCATGTGTCTAGCGCATCGAGACAGAGTCATTCCACTTGGCTCAGACTGCTGCCTGGGCTTACGCAATCGCCAACAACGATAAGGCGTAAAAGTCGTAAAGTATTATAATATTGACCAGGGCGTTACGCGAACTCGTGGCATTCGCCTCTCGGACTGAATCCAGATAATACGCCAATAGGATGACCGCACTGAAGCGCTACAATACATGCCTAGGCAAGCAAGTTTATAACCGTCCCATCCTGATACCCCTCAACGCCAGAACGTCCGCTCGCCGGCATGACCATCAGTGTGCGTCGCAAAGTCCAGATCCATCGTTGGCTAAACCAACGGCTTGTGTCAATCGTTGACAACTCTTACTCAACGCCCTCGACTTTCCTCAGAAACTCCCTGACACGGCCAACCTCCACACCCTCGCCTTCTTCGCTATCCAGAGCCGCCACCAGGCCTTCGAGACACTCTTCAATCCTGTTCTCTTCTACCTTTGTGCATAGACTGACGACCTTGCGGTACATCATCTCCAGCTGCCCGTCCTTCTCCTTCAGCATCTTACTCCGCTTGAGTAGTGCACCGTTCGCGTTCGTGTAGGTGTGTAGTCGTTGTTGGAGGACGGAGGCGGCGGGGAGTTGCTGGACTGCATAGGCCTGATATTGTGGCTGATGCGATACCTGTTTGAGCGTTGCGGGATCCAGTGGAATGGTTGTCGACAGATAGGGGGCTCCATCTGATGCGCGGCAATCCAGATGGTCGCCTGCTTGCCGGAGCTCGTAAGGCAAGTCGTCTTCCTTGATGAGCATGCCAGCACCTTCCGCATCGGCGTATCCTATCCTCTTCTTCTCGTGCAAATCGATGTCCCCTGCATTGACAGAAAGCATATGCCGTTGTGGCTCAAGCCAACGCTTCAGATTCGATATCCGCTTAGCGCGATCTTGTCGTAAACGTAACCGAGCACGTAGTGACTCTAGCCTTTGTTGCTCCTGCTTCTGTTGAGTAGATAGTTGGGTGATCAGCTCGTTTGTTTGATCTATGGTGTCTTGTTTCAGACGCGCTTCTTGCGTGAACTGCATTGAAGCAGACTGGAGGATACCGTTCATCACTGTGATCGTATTAGCGGGATTCTCGTAATAGATACGAATTCAAACTTACAGGGTTGTATCTCTCGGCTGGTCTCTTCGACCTTGCTCAAGGGCGCCTTGCCCTTGCTGGGGCTGTTTGCGGCGATTATGACTTCGCCGTCGCCGAGATCGCTGCCAACACCAAAGTCGATCGGTCTCGTGCCTTTGTGATTGGGTATGGTCGGATCCGCCTGAACTTCCATGAGCTGAGAGATAATGTTGCGATTGCCTATCCTTGCTGCTAGGTTGAGGGCTGTATTGCCGGCTTTGTCGCGTGCGTTGACCATCTCTTGCATAAACCTCATCAATCCTATTGGTTTCGGGTAGTTGCTGGTGTCGTGGAAAGAAGGCACCTGGTTGGCGCCAATGTTGCTGCGTACGAGATACTCAAGAAGTGCCTCGAGGTAGTACTTGCTGGAGGCCGCACGCCCTTTTATGGCACAGGTCACCGCGATGTGATGCAGTATCGTCCGTCCCTGGGAGTCGCGGAGTTCGATAAGTGGCGCCAGGATCTCGAGCGTTTCTGGGAAGCAGCTGTGGTCCAGGCTGTTGTTGACGGAGACTGCACTCATTAGTGGTGTTTGACCTGAGGCATTTCCTCTGAACATGTTCGCTCCTTTGGAAACCAATAGCCTCATCAACGAAACTCGGGCCAGTGTCGCGGCCCAATGTAGAGCTGTATTTGAGGTGTTGTCAATTGGCATGTCTAGATCTGCGCCAGAGAGGTGAAGAATGGCTGGATGATTCGTGAAGTCTGTCCTAGTCTGATCCGCGAATAGATCCGTAAGCATGGCTTGCTTCTCTTCGTTGTGCTTGGTGTCGGGGTGCGGTAGAGGTGGCAGGGCTGAGGGAACTTCGCCATCGGGAAGTGCAATGCGCTGTCCTGTCTGGTGTTGATAGAAGCTCTCGCTTGGTTCTGTCGGCGAGCCAAGATCGCGCATGGACATGTCTGCGCCGTTGGGTTGTGAGTAGGATTCATCTTGGGATGTTCGCATGCGCTTCCTTGGCGGCTCTTGCGGGTCTTCAAGGCCTGTGCCATAGGCTGAGTCGGTGTGTCCGTTCTGCCCGCTGAAACTACGCTCCGATGCTACGCTTTGCTGGCTGCTTGTGCGGAACGATTCTTGGCTGGCGAGGGGACCTTGTGACGGCCGTGCCATGCTTCTCCGGCCCTGCGAGGAGGATGCGGGTCGCGGTGCGGGTGAATTTAGTCGCGCGACCTTGTTCATGGCGGCAAGTGCGCTGGTGGCTGTCGAGGAGATGTTGCTGAAAAAGGTACCGCCGACACTCTGGCTAGTAGTGCGGCCGTCCATGCTCTGGGTGTAGAAGCGCTTCCTGTTTGCTGCCATGGCCTGCTCTTTGGTGGGCGTCTCGATGCCCTGGCCCTGTCCCTGGTTGCCATCGACGCTGACGTCGTAGTCCAGCAGCGGGCGCAAGACATCCTCGACACCGTACTGGCGACAAAACTCTCTGCCGCGGCGGTAGCAGATCCATGTGCCCTGGTACTTGCCGTAGCCGCCCTGGACCTTTTCGTGTTCGCCGTTCAGTATCTCCTTCTCGAGGACCTTGGTGCGCTTTCCTTTGTCAACGCCAGCCACCTTGAGGATCTGGGTGGCATTGAGCCAGCCGTCAGAGCGTCGGCGCATAACAGCGACCCGATTGACTTCCATTTCGTAGACAGAGACGCCCGAGTAAACAGCCTAGATTGTCAGCGACTTGGTGCGACTGCGCAAATGCGGTGGTTGTGGTGCCTACGGTGTATATCTGGGGCTTCTCCATGGCGTGCTGCTGGTAGCCGTTCATGTCGGAAAAGGACCGGTTGAAGCCAGCGGGCGCGGCCATGAGTCCCTGGCTGTGGGGAGAGTTGGCGTACATGGCCGACTGGGGCGGCGAACCTGCGGGAAAGGATAGCGACGTGCGCGCGACTTGCATTATGTCAGCGCAGTGCTGGCGGGCGTGGTGATGGTGACTGTACGGGTCAAACGATCATGGGGGCAGGCGCGGACAGAGGCTGGGCGCAACGTGGGCAGGTGCAGTCGGGGTGCGCAGCCGTGGGCCGTAAGCGGAAGCCTCGGTGGAGGGTGTGATGGGCGATAGGCGATATGCGCCGTATCAGGACTCGATGTTGATATGCGGGTGGGCGGGGGGTGAATGTGCCGTCGCTCGTGGAGACTCTAGAGGAGTGGAGATTCCAGAGGTCGCGTCTACGCGTCGCGGCCAATCAGCCGCCGCCCCAGTTTCCTTGCCCAGAGCACGGCCACGACTCGTCTGCCACCTTCCGTCTCGTCTCCCGCATGCCTACGCCAGTCCAGCAGAGCGCGTCACGTCTGCGGCCAGTCCATCTGCTGCGTGCCCTGCTGCGTGAGGCGTCGTACCTGCCCGATGCGACAGCCCGCACCTACTTCCGCCGCTACATCGTCAGCCGATTCAAGGCGTACCAGCCCAAGCAAAATGCGACGGCTTCCTTCGACGTCCAGGCCGTTGAGAGGTACAGGCACAGGAGCTTCAAGAGGCGGCAGATAGCGATCATCAATGAGCGCACACGACCAATGCTCAGGAAAGGGCAAAAGGGCCTGAACTTCCTGCGGCGGGCCAACCTGGGCGAGATACCATGTCTGCAGAAGGTCCTGTTCTTCGCCTATGGGCGCATGGGAAGGAGGAAGTACATATTGCTAGAGAGATTGCTAACGCCAGACCGCATCATGGACGGCGGCGCACTCGCAACGCCCGTCGAGCCAGGGCAGGCACCGCTGCAGAAGCTCTATTACAGCAATAAGCGCTATCTGCAGTATTTCGATGCGCCCAAAGCCGCCTCCAAGACCGAGTATACCATCAACGTCTCTAGCCGCTACTCCCGATTGCGCACCGTCCTCAAATCGCAGTACCAGAAGGGCATCTCCATACATCGAGGGATCAAGCGTCCAGCCATGAAGACGCCTATCAACAATGCCTGGGAGCGACCCATGCCGATCAAGCGCGCGGTCAACAACGTCCGACGCTGGTATGCCGAGACTATGACGAGATTACTTCCTCCATTACCGACCGAAGAGTGGGACAATATGCATGCCATGGTTGTTGGGGACCGAAAGATCGATTTGGTCAGACGGAGAGGCCGCGCTTCAGTATTGAGTGCTGAGCCAGTCATAGAAGACCACTTCTTCGTCCACGCAGTAGAAGCAGGCATTGCCTTAGACAAGCCCAGCAGGGCAGACATGCCTGCAGGCGTGCAGCGACCGCATTCCATCAACCCTAGGTTCATGAAGCGCATGTATACAAAGCTCCTCATGCTCTGCTGCAAGGTCGAGTATGACGACGAGCAGAAGCGATGGAAAGCAATCTGGGGCGAACCTATGAAGTACATCAAACCCAGCCTCTACAACGTCCCTACAGATGAAACGCTCTTTGCGGGTGTTGATGCTACAGGCAAGATCCCGAAGACGCCCAAGAAGCATCTGCTGGAGAAATCACAACATGTCCAGCCACGGAATGCCGAGGGCGAATATATGCGTTTTCCCTTCTTTGCCGAACGGCTTCCAGAGGAGCACCCAATACGCAGGGAATTGGATGAATGGAAGAGGAAACGTGCTGCCGCGAGAGGACAAAAACGGGAAGTGTCGTAGCCCTGGAGGCGGGGCACTCAGTACATACGTACCCCACAAACTTGGAACGCGGTTAGTAGGGCGCGCCTTACATGTACATAAAGTAGGCAGCACCCCGCAACCTACCTTGACCACAGTGCATTGAGCAACGTTTTGACAAGCACAATGGCATCTTCAAGCGCAACAATTCGCCACGCGACCCGTGAAGGTAGGGTATCCCCAGCCAACAGTAGAAGCCTACTGACAGCCTGTGCAGATGTTCCTACCATCCTAGCCCTTATCAAAGAGCTTGCGCTCTACGAAAACGCCAGTGACAAGGTTGACTCAACTGAAGAAATCCTCACGCGCACCCTCGCACACTACGATCCTTCCACATCGACCTTTTCCGAAGGCTTCGCCCGTACACTCCTCCTCAGCGACCCCGACGGCACGGTAGCAGGTATGGCTCTATACTACTACAACTACAGCACATGGACAGGCGTGCCAGGCATCTACTTGGAAGACCTCTTCGTCAAGGAAAGCTACAGGAAGAAGGGCTATGGCAAGAGACTTCTTAAGGAGCTCGCTGGAGAGGTGCTCAAGGTCGGAGGCAGGAGGCTCGAATGGAGCTGCCTGGACTGGAATGAGCCCAGTCTGAAGTTCTACGAGAGCGAGATCATAGGGGCGCAAAGGAAGACGGCATGGGTAGGCTTGCGTGTGGATGGAGACGCATTGGAGAAGCTTGCAAGATCATAAGCGTAAAGAGTGGGAATTCATCGTATGCTTTTTGAGACACGACCCTGATTGTTGTATGCCCTTGTTTGCCCTAGAACCTTGGAATCCATGAGGAGCGTCCACGTGAACACGCGCTCCAGGTCCGTGCGCTACAATCGTCACCTCTGTCTTACTCCAGTGGCCGTGCCCGCGCTCTTGCCTTGTCGACTCTGAATAATCCAACTCTGCAGTTCTCTACTACCTGTAAATTGCAACACCATCATGGCACGCCCACCATACATGGTTGAATCGTACGAGACAGTGAAGTGCTGGGAGGAACTATGCAGGTAAGTTATCAAGAGTGAGATGCAATTGGTGAATGATACTAATTCCCTCCAGGTTGTTGCGACTTGAACGGAAGAAGGACACGCTCGACGATATCCAACAACTTGTCGGTCGCCATGACGGCCTCCAAGATCTCATCCACGTCATCGCAGAAGCCGACGGTTCTCCAGCGCCCACCATGGACCTCATCAAGTCGAACTTGGGCCTAGCACGAGACTTCATCGAGGAGTTTGGGAAAGCTACCGAGCTGTACAACATCGCAGTATGTCGCATTATCGGACCTGCCATGTACACGACACTGCCACGTGAAATCCGCGATATGGTCTACGAGTACCTGACCCCACACCAACTCGATATCACCCTTCGGCCTTGCTATCCTTGCGCAGAATCAGATCTACTGCACGTAGTCGACCACGTAAATCCCAAGTATTTCGATTACGATCTATACTTTGCGCCACAACCTCGCTCACAGGACGACTGGCTTTGCCCTGAACGTTATTGGCGAGACAACATCATCAGTCCCGGAGTAGCTCAAGAGCTTATGGAAGCCTGGTATCGAAATAGCACCTTCAACATGTGGGCAGACTGGATCTGCGAAGGATGGCCGGCCGAATGGCTAAACACGTTGCTCAACAACGATCGTTTTGGGGCCAGGCTGCGACCTCGTGAGATGATCACGAAGTTCGCCTTCGAAGTTCAAATCAGCTATTGGAGAGGAGAAATAGACTCACATTGGCAAAAGAGCCTAATGGAAGCTCTCGACAGCTTGTTCTCACTCAAGGAAGCGACGCAGATAGATCTCAGCGTGAGATGTGGGTTCGGCGAAGATCCGATGGCAGCGTTAAGAGCATTCCTTGTTCTCACACGTCCTGCCTTTCTACGTCTACGAGAGCTGGGTTATCGGTGCACGATCAAAACCGTCAGACGAAAGCCCAACCCTTTTGGTAAAGTTATTGACGAATGGGTGCAAGAGCTCGAGACGGAGGTTAAGGGAAATGACAACGCGTGTCTGATCGGTGTCTAGGATGGTGAGCAGTGCGCTGGGATGAGCACAATTTGAGGTGCATGCTCAGTAGCTTCTCGATGTATCAGCTTTTCAGGGTCATCATGCTCCGCGAGAGTCTACGACCACGGAGTGAGTGCACACTGGTTAGAGGCTGGGATAGTGCACTATTTGGACATCACATCTAGGGTAGCAGCAAGACTTTGCTCTATATGGGGATTTTACGATGGCGACAAAACCATTATCTAGCACAAATTCACCAATATCCAAGAGGTTACGCTTTCCATCTCTCTCCTTGCTCGGCTACGCTAGGCTACCTAATCTAACAGGATTAGCCCAGCTTACGTCTGTCTACCTCTGAGCCCCCATCGTCAGCGATCATCGACGGCAAACTCACTCATCAAAAAAACATCGACTGTCTAACTTTCTGCCTTCGGGTTTCGGATTCCATCGCTAGCCGGCCCGAGATGAATGGAGGTTTCGGAGGGCTCGGAAGTCTTGGGCCGTAGAAGGACCGACCCGTCAGTATTGATCAAGATGAGTATGCGTGGATCATGACGGCAACTCTAACGATCAACAGTGTGCGAATGTAGTTTCGCAAGACGGACTCTGGTGGGCTGGCGATACACAACACATCTCTCCAAGTAGGAGGACGCGGGAGTGAATGAAGTAAAAGTGCGCGCTAATTTCAACATGACGGACACAACGACTGTAGGAAGGATCTTCATTCTACGACCATATTCACAAGGTACCATAGCAAAAGTAGCGACCACTACCCATTCATAACAACAAGGTACAAGGTAGCGGGTATCTTTACCTAGAGTGTTCGCCATAATACCCAATCTACGAGTTTCCTCGTGGTAGCCAGCCGGACTTTGCACCGCACCATCGCACGACATGCGGTTGATTAGTTTAAGACTTTCCCATTCGAGCCGATGACAAAGGAAGAGGCGGCTTAGAGGGCATGTCAGGTTCCACAAAATCCAGCCACGAGCTGACAACTCCAGAAATCACAGGGATTGGGGGTACACACTCCGCTTCGGAAACATCACCGGTCCGAAGCCGACGAATTGTAGATTAACGGGAAAGTTACTTACCTTTCTTAGGCATAGCAAGTAGAACGGAATATAGAAGCCTCACTACTGAATCGAGTCAGCTATGCTGACCACTTACTTGATTGCGCTGTCCTTGCGAACAACCTATTTCGAACAGGTAGGACCTTGTGTGCTAGCAAGGTAACACACGGCTGAGCATGTACTGACAGTCAGAAGGTAACGGCCCTTCTGGTCGGATTCGGACGCTGACATACTTCCACGGCTGGGATTCAGGCCTCATGGATAGGTTCAAGAATACCTGCACGCGTAGACATGGGGTAGTCAGTATATATGAGGAAGCTGCTCATCGATGTTAAGACACCACCAACGAACATCTCAGCTTCCAAATCTCCACCACAATCGTTACCGCCAGCATGCATTCTCAGTTCATTTCTCCCCGGAACGGGAAGGGTGCTATGCTCCTCCTGCTCTCCTCCTACCTTTCGAGCTACGCATTTGCGACGGCAGTCCCCGAATCCGTCGACGTTGCCGTGATAGGCGCAGGACTTTCCGGTTTGACAGCAGCGCGAGACCTTCTCCACGGCGGCAAATCCGTCATCGTTCTCGAAGCTAGAGACCGCGTCGGCGGCAAGGTCTACAACCACCCACTGAAGAATGGCGGCGTCACGGAAGTGGGCGCCGAGTTCGTCGGCCCAACGCAAGACAAAGTACTGGAGATGATTTCCGGCTTGGGACTCCAGACATTCGACACGTATAGCGAAGGGAAATCCATCTTGTGGAGGAACGGCACACGAACAGCTTATACTCCAGACCCGGCTCTGGGTGGTTCACCGCCAGTGGACATGGCGTCTCTTCCTCTGGTTGCCAGTGCGCAAAAGCAACTGGACGACTGGGCAGCTGAAGTCAACACGAGTGCACCCTGGACGCATCCCAAGGCTAAGGAGCTTGACAGCATGACGTTCCAGCAGTACATCGATCAGGCAGCACCCCACGCGGACGCCGCCTTCGTCTTGACCTCAGCCAGCAAGGCCATCTGGGCTGCGGAGCCGCGAGAGCTCTCTGTACTCTACGTCGTCGCATACATTGCAGCAGGCGGAAACGAGACCAACGTTGGAACACTGGCTCGACTGATTGGCATCCAAGGCGGAGCTCAAGAGAAGCGAGTCGTAGGCGGAACCGGTCTCATCCCAGAGCGTCTTGCCGAGAAGGTCGGACATGAACACATCGTCATGAACGCCGCCGTATCAACCGTCACCAAGACATCTCACGGCTACAAAGTAGTCTCCCGAGCAGGCGCCGTCCACGCAAAGCAAGTCGTCCTCGCCATGGCGCCGCCCCTCCTCCGTCAAATCACTTTCTCGCCCGCCCTCCCCACCGCCCGCCAACAGCTCAACCAAGCAATGAAAATGCCGTCCATCGGAAAAGGCATTCCCATTTACTCCACGCCCTTCTGGCGCAAAACCGAAGGCCTAAACGCCCAAGTCATCTCCGACAACGGTTCCACACGCGTAACCTTCGACTCCACACCCGAAGACACCAAATTCGGCGCCCTCCTCGGCTTCCTCCTCGGCGACGAGATGCGCGCGCTCGACGCCCTCACCCCGGCCCAGTGCGAAGAGAAGATCCTGTCAGACTACGTGCGGTATTTCGGCGAGGAAGCAAAGACCAACACGGAGTTTGTGTTGCAACGCTGGGACTTGGAGGAGTGGTCCAGAGGAGGACCTGTGGCGGTTGCTCCGCCCAATGTCCTCACAAAGTATGGTCAGGCGCTGACGATGAGAGCCGAGGGGTTGCATTTTGCGGGCACGGAGACGAGTCCGTATTGGACTGGGTATATGGACGGAGCTATCCGGAGTGGAGAGCGGGTTGCTAAGGAGATTATGGGTATGGGGTATTGAGACTTGCGAGGATCGGGGTAGTAGTCATGGTGGTGGTAGTGGTAGTGGAGGGGTTACATCGTGATCTTGCCGTTCAAATCTGTAATTATAACCCTACTCCTGTCTCCGGACATCCTTAGTAAAGCAAATGGGATACTCTTTTCAGCAAGACGGGGTCATGTCATGTTTTGGGTCGCCGGAGAGCAAGAGTCTAGGTTCTTAGTTCCCAGCGCCATATCCGGGGAAAGGTGTTCGTGATCGACAGGCCCGCGCGGAATATACTTTCAGTAGCCGGGGCTGCTAACCTGCGAATTGCTTACCTTGACGCCAGATCGACATGTCACGGTGAGCCTCGGCTCCACCGTACACCATGAGGTTTGTGTATAATAGGAAGCCGTAGGATGTTGTATTTGCTTTTTTATCACCTCAGCATCATTCTGACTCGTGTTTCGCTCTTACCATCTCATACCCGCTTCAGGCCATTGATTCAATCGCAAGATACTCATCGACATCATGCACTTCTCACTTCCCCTCCTTCTCCTCCCCGCCATCGCTTTCTGCGCGCCAGTTGCGGAAATCCTGCCTACGGCACAGGATGTGATTCAGTCAGTGGTCAACATCCACAGCGCTGTTCTCGAGCTCGATCAGAAAGTACAAGCTTTCCAGGGTGGCTCCTTCGAGACCGCCTTTGTCGAAGGCAAAGAAGTGCTCGCGGGCGTAGCAAAGATCCACGAAGTAAACCGTGAAGGGTTCCGACGAGCAACCCTGGCTCTGCCGCCGTTCTCTATCAAGGATACTACCGATCTCATCAACACGGTGGTAGCGACTGGTGTGTTATCGCGGTCCCTTTGGCACGGATAATATGCTAACACTCGCCGTGAATAGTCAACACTAGCATCCCGAACGCGACCAAGCACCTCCAAGAGAAAGAGCCTGTGTTCAAGGCGAACGGTTTCTCAGCCGTGGTCATCGCCAGTCTGGCCCTGTTGGAATTCGACCACGATACGTTCAGCGCGGCAGCAGCGAAGAACTTCAACCTCGCTACGCCCAAGCCGAAGTTGGACGAGGGCATTGCGGCAGCGGCGAACATCCACAAGGTTATCCAGGATACCATTGTGTTCTACACTGTAAACGCGGTCGTGTGAAGGGCAGGGTTGAATCCCAGGTGATGTATAGCGGTGTAATGTCCGTTTATGATCGGTGCCACGCATGCGCGTTCCGTAGGAAGTCACGTCCGTATCAATACAAACACGTGCCCCATGTATCCGCCTGCGTCTGCGTCTGCACCTGCACATGCGGAAAAAGTAAACATGCCACCGATGACGTATCAAAGTGATCGCCCACCAACCTTGTTTCTCCTCCACAGTCTAGATGCCGCTAGCTCTCCCGTAGCGCTCCATGCCATCATCCATTGTCAGCCTCAGCCCCAACTTTTCGGGCTCTGTGATCTCCAGACTTCCCTGCTGCACATCACCACTCTTGCTAAATTAACAACACATCCACGTTACACTCGCCCCACGACAACCCCCCCAGCGAAATTCCTCACAATGGGCATCTGCGGCAGCAAAGAGAAAGCGGGCGAGTCAACCGAAATGGCACGACCCTCGCAGTCCCAAAACGCAGCCTCAATCGCGCAAACCCAACAAAACATCCCCGTCGCCAATGAAGGTCCAACCGTAAAACCGCGCCGCTCCCCCGACAACCCCATTGTCTACTTCGACATTGCCATCGGCGGCAAGCCAGCCGGCCGCGTGCAAATGGAGTTGTTCCTCGACGTTGTACCCGCGACATCAGAGAACTTCCGCCAGTTCTGCACGGGCGAGGCGAAGCGCGGCGGCGGGTACAAGGGCAGCACTTTCCATCGTGTTATTCCCAACTTTATGATTCAGGGAGGCGATTTCATGAACGGCGATGGTACGGGCAGTGCGAGTATCTTTGGGGGCGATTCGTTTGATGATGAGAATTTTGAATTGAGGCATACGCATCCTGGGCTGTTGAGTATGGCGAACTCTGGGTAGGTTACTTCTCCTGACGACTGTTTAGAGGGGAGTTGCTAATTTGTTTTCCACAGGCCCAACACCAACGGTTCTCAGTTCTTCATTCTGACGGCGGCGACGCCGCATCTTGATCGCAAGCATGTCGTATTCGGCGAGGTGTTGGATGGTATGGATGTCATAAGGAAAATTGAGGCGACGAGGACTGGGCCCGGTGACAAACCGTTGAGCGATGTCGTTATCGCTGGATCAGGGCAGCTGTCAGGCGCAAAGCCATTGGCCTAGGAGTTGACGAGTGCGTGGAGGTAATAAAAGCAGGTCGATTCGCGGTACATAGGTTTCCAGTCGATGGAACCGTAATGATAATGTAATACATCTTTGCAACACAGTGCAACTATAGTTCACCTAAACTTTACATTGCTTCAGGGTGTTATTATTCATTCTTATACTAATGTACACTGCAGCGCACCTGTTCAGTTCTTTCCCTGTACAAGACACTCCTGCTATTGCACCAGCTCGCCCAGCTCCGCCATCTGGATCCGCATAGCTTCCTCCTCCCAGAACTCCGCCAGCTGCTCAGCGCCCCTCCTACCACCCCACTGTCGCCCGCCTTGGTCCATATCGCCTTCGACTCCGTCCATGAGGCGCCGAAAGCAGCTCTTAAACTTGGGTTCGTTGAAGTGGTGGTAGGGGTGGTCCGGATTGAGCCATGCTGAACAGATATAGCAGAAATGTGTTTGGCACTGCGCGCAGGTCTGCAGAGATACGAAGTCAGTATGTGTGCCACGTGCATTTTATGAGGGTCGGAACTTACCATATGATTGCAGCCGTAACCTTTCTGGCAGGGTACAGAGCAGTACGGGCATGGTGTCGTGTTCTTCATGATGAAGTTGAGCGATGCCTGGTCGTCTTCGGTGAGCTCTGTGACATTGCGTGGCTCGCAGCGTACGAAGTCTCCGTGCCACGATGCTAGGCAGATAACACAGAAAGCGAGAGTGCAATCTTCGCAGACTTGCAACCGCTCCATGCCTCGTACACCAACGCCACGCTTTTCCGGGCCGCTTTCAATCTCGGTCTCTTGTGGTTGAGCTGGGCCCTCGTCGTCTGCTTCAGAGTCCGAATCGTCCATCTGAGTAACGTCTGTAATCTTGGGGTATTTATCTGACCGCATAGCGCCTTGACACCATTTGCGCGGACAATATACGATGTTCGGGTCGGATTCGATCTTCTTCTTCCGCTTAATCTTCGCGTATCGCTCGACCTGGTCGCGGGATATAGGGATTTGTAAGAGTTCCTTGGGTGACAGTAGCCGGTCTTTCTTCTTCCCACTACTACCGCACTCCGTGGACATGCATTTGATGTTGTTGACGTTTCCCTCTGTTATACAGCTGTCGTAGTATTCCTGGAGGCAGTTGATGCAGAAGACATGGCTACAGCGGGCCATGCGATAGCACGCGGATCCCTTCTTCGGCTCGAGACAGACTCCACAATCGAATGTGTCTTTGTCAAACAGTTCCTTCTTCATCCGCCGACTATAGTCAACCAGCTCCTTCTGCATGGACGACGGTAGTGTGAGGTCTTCCAAGCCAAAGGCATTCTCAGCCTGTTCTTGGAGAGAGCTGATATACGAGAAGAGTATAGAGCCCCCGCCATATTCCTCCCAGAGTGTCTTGGCTTCGGTTGTCAGTCGGGCCTGCAGATCCTCGTGGATCCATGAAGGCGAAGTCGACAGTCGAATTACAGGCGGTAGATGTTCGGGATATTCGGCAGGCAGTATAATTTCGAGGCGCAGCGGAGGGAGGTATGGGAGTCGTTCGACATCTTGCTGTGGCTCAAAGGTGATAGGTAGAGGCTTGGCGGGTGCGACGAGCAGTTCGAGAGTGGCCGAGTACGGATCGCTATCGTTGATGACCAGCTCCGGGTAGATGGACTGCAGCGTGCTGAGCTCTTCGGCGCGCTCGTCTTCCAGGTTGAACTCGGTCATAGCGGCAGATGTTAGGAATGCCGCGTTTCTATCGGCGAGCGGGTTGTATATGAAAGTGGCGGCGGCGGAGAGAGGGCGGAGATAAGTCGAATGCGGTCGCAACAAAGTGTGAAAAGGGCGTGGCGACTCTCTTCTATCGATAGCGCATAAAGGCAAAAGCCCCCTTGAAGAGGCCCATTGTGAGTCAGGCGCTGGCTGCAATCACTGCGATTCCATAGAGGCTTTCAAGAGCCAGGCCGTAGCAGCAGATGCGAGCATGTATGCAGCACAATCCCATCACCGAGGCATCTCGCATGCCAAGGCCGGCAGGGTACCGCCGGGATTGCGCCGTCATGGACACGGCATGCGCACCCTTCACTCTTGACACGCTGCACCTCCCACGTGAAGTTGCTATGGAGGCCCCTCCGCTTGCGTCGCTGTCCTTGACGCATGTCCACTATGTTGGTCTCATCTACTGACAGCCAGAGCCGCTGCTAATCCACCCAGAATCCCGCCGACCGCGTCTCCTACCTCTGCGCATGGCTTGCGCTTGTGCCCCAGGGACTCTGCGTCGTCTATGCGACGCTGATATGGTCAAATCGCGAGATTGAGATATTCCTCATGTTCGCAGGCCAAATGGCGTGTGAAGCGCTCAACTGGGTTCTGAAGAGATACATCAAAGAAGAGCGGCCGCGGGGTAACGTTCGCAAAGTATATCATGTGAATGTAATACTGATAATTTTACAGAAATGCATGGAAAGGGCTACGGAATGCCCTCCTCCCATGCCCAGTTCGTCTCCTTCTTCTCCGTCACCCTAGGCCTGTTTCTCCTCTTTCGGCACGTCCCACACCCGACCGAAACCCACACCCCCTTCTCCTTCGGCGGTCGCGTCCTCCTTTCGCTTCTAGCAATGGTTTGCGCAGGAGCTGTAGCAGCAAGCAGGATATACTTGAGCTACCATACACCAAAGCAGGTTGTCGTCGGATGTGCCGCCGGAGCCCTCTTCGCTCTAGCTTGGTTCGGCTTCACAACCTTCCTGCGGAAAGCCGGCTGGATAAATTGGGCTCTCGAGACGTGGGTCTTGAGGACGTTGCGCGTGCGAGATCTCGTAGTACAAGAAGATCTCGTTGATTCTGGCTGGGCACGCTGGGAAGACCGAAGGAAACGGCAAACGTTCCAAGTCCAGGGTAAGAAAAGCAGGTGAGATCTAAAATCTCTGTATATATTACCACGGTACGAGGCTGTCATACTCGTATCCGCTTGTCCATACTCAAATAGATGTGTAGCGCAACACAAAACAAGATTGGCGACTAGGCCGACTTTCAAGCCTCTCGACATTCTTAGCTCCCGTGCGCCGTCGAGATCTCCAGAGCTTCTTTCCGCGGAGTCACTTTCGTTCGTTCAACATCTCAGCCTCCAGACAGGCATGTCCCTAGTACCAATCACAGATCATCGTCATGACATCTGTAACAGCCACCAACGTCAGGCTAGTCGTGGCTTCAGCCGTGTGCAACGGCATATTCTTGCTCTTCCAACACTTCGAAACCTATCATCCCCCGTGCTGCCTTAACAAAAGACTTATCTCCAGTCAGCCGTGGCTGAAGTTTGCCGTTCACAAGCGATGATCCCCACAGTTAATGGTTCGGACTATATGTGGACCCTTGACGTGCATCTTCCGTCACAATCGTCATGCTGCCGTCGCCGTGCCGTTGGCTATGACAAACCCGTCAATCCGAATGATTGACCGCTATGGTATAACGGCGGCCGGTAATTCCTTTTAGTTCGTCTTTTAGGTCGGGTTTCCCCAACTGAGGCGTCCATGTCGTAACTGTCGTCCCTCATCACTGTTCTCTATGCTCTGTTTTGCGAATACCTTTGTCAGTATACCCATCCCCAGTAATCTTTAATCCGACTTCATCGAACCACAATGCCACGCATGAACACCTACCGCGAGCCCAAACCCCCACCGCACCGTTCCCGCAGCCACCAAAGAAGCCAAAGCCAAAGCGAAAACAGCAGTCCCCTCCCACGCAATGAATCGGACTACGACGTACCCGCACCGGAACCCAAGAAACACCTCAGCAGTTTAGAAGGGCACCTCGTCGCAGCGAGTGGAGAGTTTGTTGGCACATTCATGTTTCTCTACTTTGCTTTTGCCGGTCAGCTCATGATCATCAACCAAGCAAGTGATCGGTCGATTCTGAATGGGTTTGCTAGCAGTCAGCAGAATATCTTCATTGCTTTGGTGTATGGGTTCAGTTTGCTGGTTAATGTTTGGGCGTTCTTTCGCATCAGTGGGGGGTTGTTCAATCCGGCGGTATGTATCCTCCCAGTATCCTCCAGGATACGCGTTGAAATGTCGATGATACTAACATACCCCCAGGTTACCGTGGGCATGGTAGTTGCCGGTCAACTCCCCTTCATCCGATCCCTGTTTCTCGTTCCCGCCCAGCTACTCGCATGCATGTGCGCGGGTGGAATCGTCCAAGCCATGTTTCCTGGAGACATTAGTGCTGTCAATACTTCGCTGTCTCAGGATACTTCCGTCGCCCAAGGAGTTTTTATCGAAATGTTCATGACCGCCGAACTCGTCTTCGTCGTGCTCATGCTAGCTGCGGAGAAGAGCAAATCAACATTTCTTGCACCCATAGGCATCGGACTGGCGCTGTTTGTAGCCATGATGGGCGGTACGTTCTCCGTTTCGCTTTTGGGATACTGAGCTGACAATTACTAGGTGTATACTTCACTGGCGGATCGCTCAACCCCGCGCGCAGTTTCGGTCCAGCTGTTGCTTCAGCATCGTTCGTCGGATACCACTGGATCTACTGGGTTGGTCCTCTACTCGGCGCGTTACTTGCTTCGGCATACTACCGCTTCGTTAAGCACTTCAATTACGAGCAGGCGAACCCGGGGCAGGACTCTTCGGGTGGTCACTTCTCTGCTTGAGTGTCTTAGAAAGGGAGCAGTGTTGCGAATCTTTATACATCTGAACACACAGCGTGGAGTCATGGGAGTACTTGGCGGATATTGGGCAGATCAGAGATCTATTGGGTGCGCGCGTTCTGGCTTCATTGGTCACGTCGTTTCATGATATACTACAGGTCTTTTTGCGTAGCTATCGAAGAAGGAACAGTTGGTTGTTGGCTTTGCTCCACTCGCTTCCATCCCACCGAAGCACGGTTCAACATGTCTTGTAACTCTTCATGCGATTACATGTAACGCAACCAAGATATTTAGTGTTATTACAGATGCGGCCGAGCTTAAGCGGCTATCCCTTCCTCGTACTTTTACTCTAGGATGTGAACTGCCCTGCGCATCACTTACTACTTCTCCGAACGTGATGGGTGTCCCGCCCACACATCTGGTCTCACCTGGCACACATTGAGAAGACTGTGAGGGCTATGTAGCACGTGATCTCTGAGTGTTCATATGCGTAAAGACCAGAACATGTGCATCATGTTATCAAGGCGCAACGCACATCAGTTGGTGAGGTCAGTATAATAACGTATCGCCTATTGTATTTTATTTTAGCCTGTCCATGTAACAGGGACTTTAAAAGTAAGAGATAGAACGCTGGACAATGATCCAAATGTGAGAACAAGCCTGCCCAAACAAAAAAGAATTTAACGCCACCCGATGCTCCGTCGCCATACCTAGGTAGTCGAGATCTTTTACACAACGAGATCGATGCTACCTATGTAGGTAAGGAAAACGAATCAAACGGCAGAATCCGGTACAGGCTGTCCGCGATCAGGCTCGGACAGGAACGCCACAACGTAGGCAGCGAAGGAAGTGCAGGGAGGAATGGCAGCGATGAGCGCATCCTGTGTAGAGGCTTTCTGCACGGGCGCAACAAGGACGAGGCACACGATGTCAAGTACTAATACTACCGGTATATATCTGGCCAGTCGTTAGTATAGTTCTTGTTGTATTTTCGATTGGTGGCGCTCACAATTTGCCAAGCTTGACTCGACGAGCTTGAGAGTGAAGGTAGATCATGGTGACGGTGGACCAAATGCCGAAGATTCTGTCCGAAGCAATCAGTAAAGTATAACAGAGAACTTGGGTGGGGATACTTACATCCAAACGAAGACGGGCGGGATCCCCTCGCTATTGCGCAGTACGAACCAGAGTACACCTGTCGCGCCCATCAACGGGCAGAGCATTTTACCCATCATGGTTGAGATAGACGCGGAAATGCCGATCCCCATCGCGCATAAGGGACCCCAAAGCATTCCGATAGAAAATCGAGGCGAAGTGGTCGTGATGGAGGCATCGTGGGTATCCTGTGCTTGGGGCGTCATCGGCGATATCCGGTTGTCCAGAGCTGCCACAGGAGCGATCAAGTCCACGAAGACAAAGAAGACCATCAGGAAGACGAAGATCGTCTGGGTCAATGGCTGAGACATCGGCTTACGGAAAGACGTCGAAGTCTGGCTAGACGACCTGCGAGCTGCCGCTGTTACGTGCTGTTGTTGCGTCCGTGAGGTAGCCTCATTGAAGGGCGCATTCTGATCGGACTCGGTGTTGGAAGGGGCCATGATCGTGTGTCTCCGAATGACGCCGGGGCTTATGAGCTGCGATGAACTGATGCTCTTTCTCATACGCATTGTGGTACCGTGGTACCGGTGTTGAATTCTCTAGAAGAGGATCAGCGAGTCTACCCCTGGGCACACAGCGAACAATAGGGCCGTACACTGGAGCCGATGCTGGTGTCTGGGAGACAAACTTACGAAAGATGTGTTAAAGCAGAGATATTCGAGAGAAACGGATTTGAAGAAGGGGTGTGCGGGTGTATGGCACCTGGTCAGTGAGCGAAAGGCCCAGGACGAGGAGCTAAACATTGTGGCTGAGCGTTCGTCTCGCCTCATGGCTCAAAGTCCAGATTCGGATTGTACCTAGATAGGGTATGTCCGCGACTACGTGTCTTGACGCTGTTCGCTGGATGCGACGGAGGACGCGAAGCGGACTGACCCCGGGGCGTCGAAGTCGTGATACAACAGGAAAAAACCGGTTGTATAGTAGACTCAGCCACTCATTCATGACGAAGCAGTAGTGCTTTTGTATGGGTGCGGATACATGTTCAGCTGCAATTCGCTGATGGTGATCCAGGACTGGACTGCCGCACCCGGGTGGCTGACTTTCGCCTCAACATGCAGGTGATGCATCAGCCCCCATCGAGCAATAGATGGCCATACCAACTCACAGTCAGCGTAAACAGGGTCTAGCACATGGCGCATCTACCTGAGGCCGTCTGTGGATACTTATAAACAGTAGGAATCCCGCCAGCACCTACATCAGAACATAGTTGTTCAGCCTCATTACCAGATTACAGTACACTTCGAAATCTCAGCCTCGCGGCGGCTGCACATCCTGACATCACCGTTATAAAGCAACAGCCTGCTATCGGTTTGTCGTCCTCTCTCCACCCCGATATGAGCCTTTCGGCTTGGACAAGTTGCAACGGACACGGCAACACGACGGAGCTCACTAAAATCCTACATCGATGTCTCCTATACACCATACTTCTGCTGAGCTTCGTCATCAATGCGATAGCAGCACTCGAGCTCGGTCAATATCCGTGGCCAGCCTGGCTTACCACATCCGCAAGAGCCGACCGAATCCTTCCGGGAGCAACTATATGCGCCAGTCGCACGATTATATCTACCATCGCATTCTTCGCCGCATCTACAGTCATATACCGGGTCAACGTTCACGATCGGTGGCAAGACCATTTCCTCTTCGCTGGGATAACATCTGGTGTCGGCTTGGGCCTCCTTCTAGGAGGATTGCATACCATCATCCTTCGCGTCATGCCATGGACCGTTATGCTGGCCTTACTGTCCAGCACTATACATCATAGAACCGTCGATTGGAGGCATTGTAGAGATTCTGTGGTGGAAGAGAAGATACCTTTGCTGAATTGAAAAGCTTCGTGGAAGATTTACAGCAAAGGTATGGCACTGCACTGGATTCACCTGTGTAGCAAGACTATCTCTTTGTCCGGTTCTTGTTTGGTTTTCTTCTCTTCGAGATGTTGCTAGTTTTTCGTTCTCGTGTTTCTTTCTGTCGTTTCCGCACAATATCTTTGTATCGGTTAGTGGGAGTGAAGGTGCTGATAAAGTATTTCATCAGTCCCTAGGTATCATATCCTATACCTAACCTCAACCCATCACCGCTGTATGTCTCGTAGTCTAAAATGTCATCCACCGCGCTTCTTGCATGAGTGAGTAGCTTCTGATCGTGACATGATTGCCAGGTACTTGGACCTCATAGATGATCAGTCTCAGCATGATAACACTCTACAGTATGTTCTTGAGTCCTAACCATTACCATTGATTTGTGCCACCCGTCATGCCACGATCACACCCAACCAAATTCTACAATTGAAGAGATCGAAGTATGGAAATCCCGAGACCCTTTCGTAGAGGCTCTAAAGCGGATTCGAGTAGTCTCACAGCGATTGTATGCTACCTGGTCATGCTCATTTGCACCTCGCGACATCTTCAACCCAGCTTGGAACTCATGCCTAGTCAAATGTCTCTCTAGTCTCAACCATCATATACCCTCGACTTACTAAGAGTATTTCTGGTGTCTCCGCAGTGGATCACTCCATCAGCCTTAAGACCGACGGCGGTCCCCGTAGCAAGTGCCTCAGATGAGCAACGTCCTACCAAAAGCGTAGCCTAGCTGACGTCGGGATCGGCTAAGCTCCAGCTTAGACGAACATCCACCTACGAATGGAACGTCTCAAACCCGAGGTGCCTTAGTAACACACAGTGGCGCTCGGACGCAGCACTCGTCAGGCTTCAACGTGCCCTGGTCTGTATAAGAGACCAAGGCCGTCATCACCCAGAATATAGATGAGGATGATAGGTTCACTCGAAGTGAAGCCATAGGTGACAGGCACGACAGGGTACATCCTAGTATGCCAGCGACAGGGGGATAATCCTGATTGAAGTCATGAGCGGCATAGCCCTGCTGCATACGACTCGAGTTCGTGTCCGTGGCTGTGGTCGTGGTTTCTCGATCCGCCATGTCAACGTACCTGGATAAGTCTATAACCTTTACCAGAGTGATCTCTTCAAATTCATTTCATGTACGGCGGTTCAAAGCTGGTCGTTGGAGATAGAAACATACACGACTTGCACAATTTGTTTGGCGTCTCCCCCATATTCGTAGGATCAGAATCGTACAACGCTGTGTCGTTCGCAGGAGATTCTCAGAACATTGAGATGGGGCAGCGCATGTTTACCGTCTCTTGTATGGTCGGATGTACCAAGGCCGGGCCGGAAGGTATTCCACAAGGTGGCTTGACTTGATTGGGGCGTTGTTCAATGCAAGTATAACGGTGGCGTGCAGGAAATCATGTCCGGTGCCCAGGGACGTTTGCCTTCTTTTGCCTGCCGCTTGGTGGGCAACCACAGCCGAGCCGCATGTTATATTGTGTCAAGGGCCGTTCAAAAATTATACGGACAGTAGAGCATAGTATCATCCAAGCACTCCATCATCACGCACTTCCCAATTGCATTACGCCTAAGCATCCAAGCAACCAGACATCCTTGGCAGAAAACATCGTTTCACCTTCACCCCCAGTGTTTAACTTCAATCCACCTCACATCATGAGAAGGGGAATCTATCATGAGCAGGCCGATTGTAAGAGGCGCGTGCGGCTCCCCGTAGCTGTAACACCCAAGTCCAACCATTTTGCACGCAGGCGCGTTCAGGTCCCAACGTGGTTAATACTCGTATGTGCCTTCGTGGCCCTCACCACGCCCGCAGCCGCGCTCGACGAACCACACGCCCTGACCACAGCCACTGCGGGTCACCGCCACGATGCTCGCCTTCCGATTGGCTTCTTCATCACTCTCCTCCTTTTCATTGGGCAAGCAGTCGCTGCCTTCTCGACTACCCTGGTCGGACCGGCGATGGGCATTACGAGCGTA